ACGGCGTTGGTGGAATCGCGCGGAAAAGGACCCCCCCACCCCGATGTGTGAGATGCGCAGCCGGCCCTACGCCTAGCAAGGGCGAGCAGAGGTTTGCCGATCTGTCTGTGCATTGTAGTAGTTTTCACGCACTCCGCGCGTAAATATACAGACCGAGATGATGTTGATAACTTTCCGAGTAGGAATGTGCTCTGAATGATCTTGAGAGCACGGCGAGCAGGTCTTATTATGTATAACATATCAATGTCCTGTAGTCGAAGAAGAAAGCGAGGATTCTGTTCCACCATGTAAACTCAGCAGCAATTATTTGACAAGTCACTCTCTGCTGTCGAGTCACGAAGTCGAAACTGCCGCAGATTGTTGCCATCTTAAACAAATACCGCTGGAAGGAATTCTAGATTTGAAGCTTTAGTGACTGCAAGGATTCATATTCTTAGGTTTTTCGGTAAAGTCACGTCGGTAAAACATTAAAATTAATAAAAGTAAAATAAAATTAAAATCACGACGTTTCGGAGGTATTTACTTGATACAGCTGTCGTGGCTGTGACGGTTCCACCTGAAGACGGAAGCTTGTGTTGCCTCCGAAACGTCGTAATTTTTATTTTATTTTACTTTTATTAATTTTAATGTTTTACCTACGTGACTTTACCGAAAAACCTAAGAATATGAACCGCTGGAAGGCACACGATCCCAGGGAGCACCAAAGCCTGCATGGGCTGAATTGTTTTTACTTTCTAACTTGGCAAAGCAGACCCCCTCGTCCGTTCATTGGCAATGTTATTATCGTGTCCATGCGATAGTTGTGTCGCGTGCAGCCACGCTCCGGCGTGTTTGATTGGTCGGGAAGATATTTTCATTGCTCATAGCGTGCTGCAACTCCCCTCTCCCGGATCAGTAGCGGCCAAATAAGAGTTGCGTTAACGATACGGTTAATCACCCATCCGTATAAAAGCTTGAGCTCAGCGATACACCAATGTAATCACGTGCTCAAGAAGGCAATGGCCTTGAACAATTCAAGTGCCGTCTAATGGGTTCAAGTGAATCCTGCAGCCACTGGTGGCCGCTACACTCACCATACAGTAATATACTGACAAAACAATAATTGAATTTTTGTATAGAATTACAACAATGTTGAAAGTTATAGCCGTGGATAATCACACTCCCTTCGATGTTTTTTTGTATTCCGACACAATATTCCTGAACCAGTATGATTGTTTATCTTTTTGGGGCACGTGCAGATTGTGTGACAAGTGGTCACGTTGGTGGTGGTCAGTGTTGGTCGCTTTGAATAGAAAGCAGAAACCAAGCGGTGTTTACTTTCGGCTGGTGGATATGCAGCGGATGATCCTTCTCGGCTGTCGATTCTAAGTTGAGAGACGTGGTTCTTCTTCTGTTGGGCATCACGACGGCTGTTGACACGATGTCCTTGTGCAGGTTGAGTCGTGACCTTGCCCTCCTGTGTGTACGTGTGGGCTTGTTTCTGGGTACTCTGGTTTCCTACCGCACGTTGAGAACTCGGCAAAAAAAAAACCATTTCAAATCGTTTTTTTTTGCACACGTTTCGTATAAATGCAATTTATATTAAAAAATGTGCTCGATGGTCTGTAAAAAAACCAAACCTGTTAACTCAGAAGAATGTAATTGTCCAAAGAATAGGCGTTTGTAGAGAGTATGGCGTATTACGTGTGTTGAGTAGTAGACGGAGGTACTCGGAGACGGAAGTGAGTTAGGGGCTTCCGCCAGGGTTTATTAACACGTATCACTATCCCAGGTTCCCTCTTACCCCTTCTACTATCCCCGTTCCTCCAGTGACCCCGCTTACGTCACGGGGTCTCCCTTAAATACCCTAGGAGGGGTGAGGTCACGTGCACTGCCCAGCGCGTGTGACCCCACGTCCCGTGATGCCACCGCACCGGACAGCGCACACGACGCCACCACTCTCCTCTACTCCTCTACACGTGGATAGGAATCACGGGGGCTATTACGTTCGTTAGGAATGTTGTAGCGGTTAGCACACTCGACTTGGAATCCAGAGGTCGTCGGTTCCATATCTCAGCGCAGAAGTTGACGCAATGATGCAGTCTCCCCACCCCCGCACCGCCCCCACAGTACTCCACATTTTATCGGCAAGGCGCGTGTGGTGTGGGGGGGTAAAACGTGAATACTTCCACCTCTTCCAAGACATCTGGACGTAGTGGAAGAGTAGATCAAGTAGTTCTAGATTTGAAGCTTTCGTGACTGCAAGGATTCATACTCTTAGTTATTTCGGTAAAGTCACGTAGGTAAAAAATGAAATTAATAAAAATAAAACAATAAAAATCTACGTGACTTTACCGAAATAACTAAGAGTATAGATAAAGTAGGCCAAGGTAGTCTCTAGAGAGGTCCTTTATAGCTCCGTCTAGTGGAGACGGAAGTGGCGTGGGCCAGCAGTTGCATGGCTGGACTTTTAAGGGATGCCAAGGAGACAAGATGTTCACTACCTCGCCTGATATGCAGGAGGTTCGTGGGTTCGTTCCCTGCCCCTGACGCCTGCTGTATATTTGGAGTTTGCGCGTCTCTCTCCACGTGGTCGCGTGGATTTTTCTCCGCGTCCTCCGTTTTTTCCCTCCACATGTAGAAACATGCGTTTCGAGTGTTTAGCTGCTATACAAATCCACTTGGTTGAGCTATCATTTGTGGCGAGACCGCTTCTGAAACGGAGCTATATAGCTCAGCGTGCCTTACCTGGTAAAATTTAAAATAGTAAAAATAGTTACCGTTACTCTTTATTAAGTTAATTGTGCGGCTAACTGTGCAATCAAACAAAACGGCCACAAGTCGTTTTAAAGTGTTCCAATGAAGCTACCATGGGTCATCTTTAAAAAATATATAAATATATGGGGTATCAGCTTGTTTTGCAGGACATTCCTCAATGGATACTTATTGAAAATCGGCCATCTATCATCTCACGTGATAACTTACTTCCTCTGCCACAATGTAAGAGAAGAACATGCGATGCATTCTTTGCTCTAAATATGGTCACGGTACACACATTCCTCTAAAGGCGTCTGTAAAGTGTTAAGTACACATTTATTTCTTCGGTGGCTTCTGCAAAACGGGCCCTATCGGTTGTATCAAGCACGCAATGTAATTGCAGTAAGTGCTGCGCTGAACTGACGCTAACCCCTCTCAAAACAGGGGCAAAGTAACCTGAGCTTTTTAATACACTGAAGCAAGAAACTTAAAACTGTATTTAAAAAAGAGAGATCTATACAAACTCTATTATGCCAACATAAAGAGATAAGGCCCACTGACAAGTGCGTGGAAAAATGTAAACAGCGGAGGCTTGCGACGAAGCTTGGTCTCACAGGGTGCAGATGCGGGCACGTGGCCACACAAAGAGGCACTCGGCTACGACACAGCCACCAAGGCTCCACGTCGCGCCCCACTCCACGCCGTCACAACGTCACCGTGAATCGGCAGACGTGTCGATGCCGAGGCTCAGCAATCCACTCATCGTGTTATGCGTGAGCGCCAGGAGCTTGTTATACCCCGCCGTGGTCTCCTGTCCTACGCAGAGTCGACGAATTTGACGGTGGCACGCTGTCAACGCCATCGTCTTAGCAGTTTATCATCATCATCATTATCGTCATCTTCTTCTTCTTGGTTCTTTCGGTAAAGTCACGTAGAAGGGAAATAATAAAATAATAAAAATAAAACATAATATAATAATTCTCACGACGCTTCGGCCACAACAATAAAAAATCATCTTCTTCATCCATCCTCAACGTGCGTCGCCCTCCACCAACGTCAAAACAAACCGAGTGTGCCCGATATCGTCGGATGAACGGAAGCTAAGCTGGGACGAGTCTGGTTGACACTTGGATGGGAGACGGGGATTACCGGTTGCTATTGTTGTTGTTGTTGGCTGGAGCTGGGAGGTGGCCAAACGATGGCAGTTTGTACAGTGACGGATTGAATCTGTGTGTTTGGAGTGTGCATGTTCTCCCCATGGTCGTCCGGGTTTTCCCTGCACATTGACAAACGTGCGTTTAGAGTATTCAGCTGCTATTCATTTACACACGATAGGCCACTTCGTCGGGCTCTCATGTGTGGCCGGCTCGCTTCTGAAAAGGAGCTATATAGCTCAGTGTGCCTTACCTGTTAAAATAAAAAAAATAGTTTAATAGTTTAGTTTAGAAAATATGTGTGCAGAGCTTTGAGTGTTACCCACCCCGTCTAGGTATATTTTCTCTGGTTCCTCTGGATTTCTCCCATTGGTTAAACATCCCACTGCATCTTTCTGACCAAGTTTTCAGACTCAGTGAAGATTTACTGAGCAAATACAACGTATTACTTTCAGTGATGAATAATCAGCCTCGTCACATCTTAGCACGTCGGTTTTCGCGGCCAATATTATGATTCAAATTCAAATTTTGAGTTAGGCCATATAATGACCCGGCCAAATTTCTGTCGTAAGACCCTCCACCTCCCGACACAGTCAAACAAATAAAATTGTCTCATGGTGGACAAGCATTTAAGGCACCAACTTTATTACTCATTCAACTCACTGGGAAGTTGAAGCGTAATCATCACAACCAAACTTAGCAATTAAAATCAAAACTAATTGTTTACTTTGGTTGTGATCATCATCATCAATCATCAACCGTCATCATTTCCCTTGACGTATGAACACGTACATACGGGCCCTTTCAAAACAAATATGTTTATTTGTTAATTGAGGCACGATTAGATAATATCGGGAAAATAATAACTTTGAAAAAAAAATGTCAAAAATGAAAGGGCCCAACCATGATGGCACTTGCACTGAATCCTAATAATAGCGTCGTGTGCGTTGCCTTAAGTGTGAGCCCGTAACTTATTGACGTCATCACAGCAGGAAATAACCAACTTGTGGCAACTGCCATAAACTGATAGCGATCGCTGTGGTAAAGAGTTTCCGTTGCAGCGGGGGGGGGGGGGGGGAAACTTGATTATTTTAGTTTTTGTTGCTGTTTTGTTCGCGTCAAACGTCCAAAAATAAACAGATCGTGGCAATTAAAACTGTTTTTTAAGTGTTGCCAAGGGACCCTGTCAGATGCGTGACTGAGACAAGACGATAGGGGCCCATCACCGTCGCATTCTATTGCTCGGGACACAAAGGTTAAGCGCAAGAAATTTCCTTTAAAACTTTGCTCATTGGTGAACCCTGGTTGGGTAATTTTTTCCACTTTCATTCGGTGGCCTCTCATAGACCGACAGTGAACAAACAGTAATTGTGGAGGAGTCGGATTCGTTATAGAATTCTAGAGTGGAAAACAAAAGGCATGCACAGCACGCTTGGTGATTATCAATTGAAGGTATCAGTCGCAGCAGGAGCTGGCAATCAAAATAACAAAGCCATTTTTTTGGAATTCGGCAACAACAACAAAAAAACCCTCAACATTTCAAGAGCAGCAGTGCACGTGAACACGAGAACTGTGGCCCCTTAATAAATAACGTCACCAAGCGGCAGTCCTTGAAGAAGCCGCACGCGGCCTCGAAGCCACAGGCCCGCCGGCCCCTGTGTTGGAGCAATACAACTGGACAACGTTATAGTGCGTATACCATTTCTGGCTAAATAAAACAGTTGTGTTGAGATGTTAAAGCATCAAACTGAAACGTTTCGCAAGGAATCATGTCCGCATTAACGACATAAACTATTTGGTTCTTTCGGTAAAGTCACGTATAAAGAGAAAATAATACATAAAATTATAACACACGACATTTCGATTGCAACACAAGAAATCATCATCAGGTATAAATGAAATAGAAAACAAACCTAGTATACTTAGAAATATAATGCAATACAACACAGAGAGTCGGCTAACACAACAGACCTGATCTTCACCTGAGGACGGCTGCTTGCGTTATGGCCGAAACGTCGTGAGAATTGTATTTTATTATGTTTTATTTTTATGATTTTATTATTTCCCTTCTATGTGACTTTACCGAAATAACCAAGAAGATGAATCCCTGCAGTCACGAAAGCTTTAAATCGAAATCTAACCACATATGCTTGTGGTGAGCCTGCTAACAAACAAAATGCTCTGGTAGTCAGGGCCGGATTGAGGCACGGGGGCTTTAGGGGCTGCAGCCCAGGGGGCCTCCACCAGCTGGAGGACCTCCAAAGATTGAAGTGAAAAGTGATTTCATTTGTGAATGCTGAATATTATTTGTTGTTAGCCTTGTAAAAATAAATTTTATTTTTCTTTAACTTTATTTTTCTGCATTTATTTTTTAGAGATTTGCTTCCTTTCCTACACTTTGCACTCCTATCGAGTTTTTGTTGTTGTTGTTGTATTGGTTGTTGTTGTTTTTGTATTGGTTGTTGTTGTTGTAACTTTCTGACTGGCCCCTACTGGACACCTGTTAAAAAGGAGCTTAATAGCATCATCGGATTTCTCCAGGATAAATAAAGATTCTGATTAAGATCCTCATGAGATCAGCTTGTGCAGGTGCTGGATGTATTGTTGCATTGTGAGATAAAGAAGGATGGCAATAGCTTGGTGGGGGGGGGGGGCTTCATCCAGCAGCGGATACATCATGGCTGATGACCTTGCAGATGATGAGGTCAGGTGATGGACGCTTTTTCTTAGTTCAATTTGTAACGATAAATTGTGATGGTGTGTGCAGTCAGTGATGCAACCCCCTTGTAGTAATGGCAGTAGTTGCGTCTGAAATAATTTATCTAAATTCTGGTCACCTCGTGTATGTGGTCAAATGTTGCAGGCTGTAAGAGCTATTTCACGGCTCTCGTAGGGACCAGAGTTTTCAAAAGTGGCCTCCTTTGTGCTGTTGTTCTTCTTTCAGTGTAATCTCGTCAGTCAGCGATCGAATGTGGTGATCGTGGCCGGATGGAAGGCAGCGGTTTGCCTATTTTTGAGAATCTGAATCAAAATCTCCATGCGCTTATCACCACCCGGAGCCCGGTGAGAAACCGAACCTCGGTGCTTCGCCGTCAGGCTACTTTATAACTCAGCAGCGGCACGTTACGCTTTGCCGGATAATTATTCCTTGTTTTCCTACAATTATAACAAAGGGGGTTTTAGTGTCCCGAACACTAAACCATTAATGATCTTAAGGTATTAGTGGGATTTTTTTTTTTGTAATAAAAGAGCCAGATTAACTAAGCGCTCCCGTGTGGGAACTCTGAGGAGGTCCACGGTTACGTCCGTAGGAGGCCAAAGTGTGGGCTCAACTCGCGCCGCTTATTAGGAGACCCGTTGCCACCCGTGCAGGTCACATCGCCTGGCACCGCGGCGCTCGCCACAGCCGTGTCGGCGAGTCGAGCGGTCGGCTCAGACCCCGTTCGTTCTGCTCCCCCCCGGCTCATGTTGGCGACTTGGCGAAAAGTGAAGGGTCACGGATCGATTCGAGAAGAGAGGCAGACGTCGCTTAGCGCTCAAGATGCGTTCCTGGAGACAGTGAGCGCTGAAAGGGGCCGTTATAAACGGGTATGCCATTATAATCTTGGTTCTTTTGGTAAAGTCACGTAGAAGGGAAATAATAAAATAATAAATATATTAAACAATAAAAAATATAAAAAGGTTATACCATTGTAAAGTAAATGTGCTTTTTTTACATCAGTTCATCTGCAGCGGTCAGATGAACTCCTTGCTTACAGCGTGGATGTAAGAGAAAAACTGCACTTTCTCGCACACGCGATTCGATGCGTGAATGCCGGGGCTTTGAGAATCAAAAAGCATTGATGCTTCCGTTGACATGCAGCGACCGTCGCTGTCGATTCTACGCACGGACACACTCCTGGACACGCAGTGAGTCATGATATTTTCACTGGGGTAGGTGCATCGGTGGGTGAGGATGGAAGCATGGGGTTAACCACCGCTCATACCAACGTTGCGATCGGGAAAGGAATTGTATTAACACAGCATGTGTCTTTGCGGTCGTGCTGTTTGGTTCTCGGATGTGAGATCGGGCTTCACCGCACGTTGTTTGGCACGATGTTCCCAATGTGCGGGGAAACTTCCAATCCAAATCTCTGAACAAGCTCCCAGCACTTGGGTCGAAACGTCAGACATCGCACCCAAGAAACACACGGTAAAACATCTGAAAAGTAACCTGGCCGGACGTCTCACGCCGTGTCCTGCTGGGGGAACTCCTGCAGGATCTAAATCGAAGCTCTCAGCTGTGCGGGAGCGAAACATCAGATGTGACGTGGAGCTGAGCCGTGGTGCGACCCGACGGCACATCGGAAAGCCCGGTAACTGCATTCTTCAGACTTGAGCGGAGTGGCAGCTGCGTCGCCAAAATAGGAGTGCGAAAACAAAAGAAACCGAGCCACCAGGAAACGTCAATTAAGGACGATTTCTCCCCCCCCCCGCCCGCGAAAGGGTTTCACTCGCCCGCAGATGCTCGGTCCACTCCGCGCCCCGTGTGGACAGAGCTGGCGCATGGAACAGGTGGCGGAGGAACGATTGGCACCGTGGAGGGATGAGGGACATCTGAGGTCAGGTGCGGATGCTCGCGCAAAATATGCACCGATACTGCATTCCTTTTGCTTTAATAAGGCTCGCTGCTGGGGTTTAAGGGACACCTGCTGTAGAACGCAATGAATAGCCCCCCCCCTCCCCTTCCCCGGACGCGCTGGTTCACTCTAATGCCATCTCCGATGAATTTCAGCGCCACGAAATTTCGATGAATCTCGGCACCAGATTAGAAGTGGACCGATGTCAAGGAGGCGGTCAGTGTTTCCTGGCGTAGCGACGGGGAGGGGGGGGGGCATTCCACGGAGCGTATTCTGGCAGATAAACATGGACGTTGTGTTGAGTCTTGAGCAGGAATTAAAACTAATGGCGCTCGGTTTTGTTTAAGCTGCACGCTCACGGCAATAATACGTACGAGTGTGAATGCACGTTTCGGCCTTCAGCATTGTCACAACTGCTTTGAAATGTAATTCTCTGCGGTGCTGTTTAAAAATTGGTTTTGGTGGGGGTAACGTGTTCTGGGTAAATACATTTAAAACATATATAAGTTGGAGTTGTTTTTCTGATGCATCCTTTTAAGATATTAGGTTACTGATTGATCTACAGCAATGCTACACTCTTTGTTTTTTTCGGTAAAGTCACGTAGGTAAAAAATAAAATAAATGAAAACAACTAAATTAAATCACGAAGTTTCGGGCGCAACACAAGCGCCCTTCTTCAGGTGGGGACAACGTAGCGAAAGCACAACCGTGACTTTACCGAAACAACCAAAGAGTATGAATCGTCGCAGTCACAAACAACTTCAAATCTAGAATTACAGCAATGCTGACGTTGTACTGCTTTACTGCTTGCAGCCTGATGTGTCTGTAGTGTGTGATTGTCTAAATCTCTCTGTGCTTTGCTGTATAACAATGACAACAGTCGCATCGCCTCGCTAACAGCTTCACACAGTTATAGACAGCCCCTCTTGGTGGTATTATTGGTCTACTTTTCAACTCGAGCCAAGCAAGATGCGGGAGAATCCGCACCAAAGGCCACCATACAACACTAAACTATGTTTTATTTTACCAGGTAAGGCCCACTGAGCTCTTTTGTTTAGAAGCGACCTGGCCACAAATGATAGCTCAACAAAGTGACTTATCATGTGGAAATGTATTGCAGTCAAATACTCTCAACGCATGTTTCCCAACTCCAAATATACAGGCGTCGGGGTTGGGATCGAACCCACGTTTTCCTGCATAGCAGGTGAGGTAGTTACCATCTCACCACCATCTCGCTACGGCCGGCTTTTAATAGACTAACCGTGCTGTAACCAGCACAGTTAGTGTAACCAGCACAGTTAGTCGACTCCAGGGCATTCAGAACGTCACTGCGTGACTTTAGACTGCTCATTCTCGTCGGGACCCAATCATCGCCGAAACTTCACTGAACCTACGATTCAAATTGCCGTGCTAAATTCACAAAGCTACTGCTTCAGCAGTTGCCTCAACGCTTGACCGACAAACTGCAGCTGTACGATCCTTTTGGGAGCTTGGGGTTCTCACCTCACACACCGTCACCGTGCTCCTCTGTCAGCCACGTTTTCGGCAAAAAGTTTCAGAGCTCGGCCTTTTTGGGTCCTTGGACCCTCAGATTTGGAACGCCCAGCATGAAGATCTGCGTCTGACCGTAGGCATTCTCCCATTTAGAAAGAAACGAAAACCTTACTGATTTCCCATGATGCGTTAGTTAAAGGATGGGGTTTAAATTGTTTTTTTACCGTACGGTGCTCTGAAGCCCATTGTTGTGTCTGCTGCTCCTTATAAAAACGTTCATAATATTAAATACATATTCCTGCTGGGTGGACAGAGGTGGGGTGCTTTTTGAGAAACTTGCAGCATTCTTTCAACTTCCATGACGGGAGATTGCTAGCCATAACGCCACGGCAGCAAAATGATAATAACTGCTGAGAATATAGATTTTTGTAATTCCCGTTACTCTGTTCATTAGCCCAAATGAATGAGCGTGCCGTGTCATCAGGAATTCTAATCTGCTTCGCGTGCTTGAGCCCGAGATTGTGCCGAGCACAGTAGATAACATTCCACATTTCGAGAGTTGAGAAACAAACGGTAGAAGGTTGACCCTGGACCGTTTGGGGGTGTCGGTGTCCTCCGTGGGCGAGGACCCTTCCTGCCAAGGCCACCCCGTCGGGTAGAGGCAGGTGTACGATGTGCGAGACCTCCCACAGTCTGCACTCGCAAGCTGTGGGTGGCACTTCAAGTGACCCCTGCTTCCTCGTGTCTCCCCCCACCCATCCACCCACCCACCACAACCACCACCACTCCTCAATGCCAGCTCCCGTGACATCCAAACTCCCTCGCACCTGCTGACTCGACAATTGGGTGTTTGATTCCTTGCGGCTCGCTTATGATTGTTTCATTTAAAATGCTTTCGAGGTTATTTTTTTTCTTCCTCCATCAGTGTCATTTTTTCTTTTGTTTGTGGGCACTGCTTTGATGTGGCAGAGATGCTTGAGAACCTTGAAGAGCCGAGGAACCACAGTATGTCCATGTTACGATTAAACCGCACTCCCCCCTGCCCCAGAAATTCAATGAATTGTCACGGTTCTGGGATCGCTATTTAATTAACAAAAAAACGTATATACTTTTTTTACCGTCTCGTACGTATATATTTTTCTTTTTGTTCCGTGTAATTTATTTTGTGTAAATTGCTCCATCAGTCTAAATGTAACTGCATGTGATTTTTTTTTACACATTTTAATTCGTCTATTTCTTAGACACACCAATCAATGCACGCATTGTGAGTGTACGACTCGATTTCAATCAATGCATCGGCGTATCGTTACTGTGACGACAAGGTGGTTGAACAATATAACAGGCGTTCGATGGAAATTCGTATGCGTGTGTGATTCTCACATTTCATATTTGATTTAATGTTCACGAAATATTTTGCCCGCTTTTTTTTGCTTCTCCAGAGAAGTTTCTTAAGAGCGCATTTACACTCTCTTAACACGTTTCACTTGCGTGCTGCGACAGACGACAGCGTCTCCAGCTAGGGGAGAGAAAGAGGTGACGTAATGCTGGCGGGCACCTCGTGATTTAGCCTCATGGTAGATCAACAAGTCATAGTTGGCAAGAATTTTTGTGTTTGTGTGTAAGGGATGGAGTAGGTCTCTTCCCCATATAAACCAACGTCTTGGGGTGGACATTTAGCATCGCCAGGGAGGCCAGCACTGCTGGGAATCCACATTTGATCAGGGCTACATGCGCAAGTGATTCTGTTTCGTTATAACTGTATACTTGAGTAAAATAATTTAGCCGCTTAGACATGTAGGGATGTTGGAGAGAGGGCCGTTATGCATGGCAGCCTATGGGAAAGAAACACAGTGGGCGGGGCTACGTGTGTGCACAGGGAGATGCCCTCTGCGACGTCCGAGCCAGACACCCTGGGGGGGGGCTGGTTCGGCGTTACGATCCCCCGGGGCCCCACCCCTCAAGGAGGGTTGGGTATAAAAAGGGGTCGTTATATGGGCTTAGTCAGTTATGTTATAGTTAAGCTAAGAAGTCGGAAGACGTCGTAGCTAGAGCCCTGGACTCCCCCTGATCGCCGCCCTTATCAGGGCCCCACGGGATCAGGCTCGAGCCAGTGGCGTGGTCCCGTGAACCAGAGCCAGTGCTCTGGGACTCCGGGTACCGAGCCCGATTACCAGTGTCGGGCCAGACAGCCTCCCCTAGCTCTTAGTGGAGGACTCAGGGGATAGGCTATGGATAGCTAGGGGTGTTCCCTGAGTTATACGGGTGAGGGGGCCGCTACCCCCTCTAGGGCTGTCCTGTACTGGCAACTTGTTAAATAAATATACGTGTGCCTCAACTCCGTTGTCAAGCGTCCTCGACGGGTACTTCATCTGGCGTCAGAAGTGGTAAAAATGGAAACGCGCCATACAGCTCGGACCAGGGTACCACAAGAGGAGGACGCCGCGGAGATCGCCGAGCCCGAGACAGAGCAACAAGATGGGGTGCAGCCGGAGCCTGGCGCCTTCTCACCGGGACGTCAGCATGGAGAGGGGCCGCAGCCAGATGCACTACGACTGGCTCACGAACGGCTGGCGGAGCTACTTTATGCCGCTGCCGCCACACTGGAAGGCATTACGCGGTTGGGGGCTGGTGGTCCACCGCAGGGCGAGGAGAACCGGCGGCCGGAGCACTTTCCCGCCATTTCAGCGACTTCACAATTTGAATTTCCCGCCATGGACGCCGCGGCTGTTCGGGGCGTGGCCAGCTTAGACATCGGCTCCGACATCGCCGTCGCCGGGGCTGCAGCGTCATCGCAGCCGAAGGATGCGTCATCGCTGCCGCGACAGGCGATGCCATCGGCCAGTCGCGCCGAGGCACCGCCAAAGGGAGGTGAAAGCAACCTGCGGGAGTCCACATCGACCGCTGCGCTTCACCAAAGGCTGCCCCCGCTGAAGGAATTCATCGGTGCGGAGGGTGACTGGGGCGGCTTCCGGCGACGCTTCCTCGCCCATCAGGAGATGGCGCGGTGGTCCGACGAGGAGGCCCTTTGCGCGCTGCCGGCGCTCCTCGATGGGGACGCGCTCGCCGCACTCACGTCGGCGCCAAAAGAGAAGCGGGCTACACTACCAATGGCGCTACAGCTGCTGGCCGGGGTCTATGGACCTTCAGCCGAATGCCGTCAGCAGTTCTACGATCGCAGGCGGGGTGAAAAAGAGTCGCCTCTGGCCTTCCGGACAAGTCTTCTGGCGCTGGCAAAAACAGCCTTTCCCCGCATGGACGACGACGGCGTGGACGCAATGGTCGCGGAGAAGATCCTCCTCTTGGCGGACGACCTCGACATCGTCGTCATCGCACAAGGGGATGCAGAAATGACCTCCCTCCAGGCTGCGCGACTCCTCCACGCCAACCTTCTGCAGCAGCGGCGAAAGGCAAACAGGGCATCGGCTGGGCGTGCGGTGGCTGCAGCCACCCTTCCGTCAGAAGAACTTTATGCCGTCGACCATCGACGGCAACAG